ACTTCCATTGGGAGATTCACGGCATGATGTACGACGAGGATGAAGGCTTTTTCATGTGGGTAGAGCACTGGCATGCCTACGAAGAAAAAGCGCAGCTGGCCAAGGTGAAGGAGCTGCAAAAGCTTGCTCCAATCGAGACGAATCTTCACCGCCATCATGCCGTCCAGCATCAGCCACTTATGTCCCCTGAGGGCCCTATTCCACCTCAGTATCAACAAGGCTCGCAATACGACACCCGCTGGGTTCGGCCTTACATTTCAGAATATTCACCACCATCTGCCCCGCACAGTGGTCCGTCAACGCCAGACTACTATAATGCTTCCTGGTCTTTTACACCAACTGGTCCTCCTGCATACGGGCGCCAACAGTATCATTCCGAAGGTGCATCGGCGTACTCGGCCCAGCGCAACCAGCTGCCCACGTATGCCCAGACCTTTGGCTATGGCTCGGGTCTGACCCCAACTTGGGTGTCTCACGGGCCCAACTGCGGCTGCAGTCTCCATGCCAAGCACTCGGACTATTATTTCAATCACCCGGGATACGCCATGCAAACTGTGGTGGGTTAAATTGTTCAAACTTCAGCGTTCAGCGATCTAGGTCTGGCTCAAAAGTTCTTGAATCATACCGGGGTGTTCGGTATTGTTTTCACCATTAACCTTTGCCTTCAAAGAACCACAATCGACTATGCGAGCATCAGGCCCATCACGGTTGTTGGAGCCTCGATTTTGGAAGGGAAAAAAAAAAAAAAAAAAAAGCCCGCTCCTCGCCGACGAAAACATTTCTCTAGTCGAGTTTCCCGATCTAACGACCTTTTACGACCGGCACTTTCTTGTCTTTCGTTATTCAGCATCTAAAGCGAGCAACTCTCCAAAGAATAGATCGAGTTTTCTTCCTTTCACTATACATTGATGATGGGGATGCCCGGGCGGCGCTTTCATGGCAGGAAAAAGTCAACAAAAGTTCCGACTCGGGAAGGGTTTTACTATGGGGGCCGGCGTCAGGATTAATCAGCACTAGGGGTATCACGCAGGGGCTCGTTTATTTCCATTCAAAGACTTTGTTTGCTTCACAGTTATTACATCGTGTTTACGAGACTTGAATCGACACAAAAGGATGCTAAAAGATCATTGCTTGCCCGAGAGCTTGCATAGCGTGGCATCGCGAAGGATGGTCGACTGCCAAAGAGGTTTGCTGAATCGTCATTCTTGTAATTAGCTATGTGGAACGAGGTGGTCCGTCCCAATGAACGAGGTTGAAATGTGCTACACGACTGTCCAACAGGGCCCGAAAAGGCCCTCTTCAAGGTCAGAGTCTGCTGCATGAAAACACGAGGCACCCTGTACGGAGTACGGAGGTGGTAATGTTGGGCAAAACAGGAATCACAGGACATATCGGTCGACATTGTCATGGACCTTCTGTCGTCCTTTTTCTATTCAAGCGGCCGAGATTTGATACTCGGAAGGCATATACCCCTGATAGACCGCAATGGGTTCTTTTCCATTCTCTCGCAAAGACTCCAAATCATACAATACAAAGCAATTTGCCAGTAGGATGTATTTTTTCTTGTATGGGACAAGATGGAAGCTGATTAGTGGTCGAGGGTACATAAGTGTAATATTGCTTCATAGTAAACCGAGTAATATGGACTGAAAAGGACCAAGGCTTGATTTGGTGCTTGTGGCCAGGCTGCGAAGCGTGACGCGGTAGAGAGCGATGCCAAGCCTGGAGCCGCGGTTTTGCCGCCGCGCCTCTCCTACCTGACAACTGACTGCGAGCTTCCAGCTCATCACCGAAGTAAATGTAATCAGTTCAAACGGCCATAAAACCTCAACAGACCGACTGACTTCCTATCATCCCAACTTATTCCCCTTGCCCCAAATTTTTTGTGTCTCCGTTTAACAGTACTCATTCCCAACTTGATCTAGAAGATCTCCTCAAAAAGCCTACCATCATGTCGACACTAGAGGATATCGATGACATGGAGCGCGATGAGAAGGAGCAGAGGAAGGATGGCGATGACAAGGACAAAAAACCTACTTCCAACGGCGAAGCCAAAGATGCGGAGATGGAGGATGCAGACTCAAAAAAGGATGAGGAAGAACAATACATTGACGACGAGATTCTTCAGTCAAGTACAAGAGACATCATCAACCGGCGGCGACTACTCGAAAACGAAATGAAGATACTCAAGAGCGAATACCAGCGGTTAAAGCACGAGGAAACCACAATGAAGGAGAAGATCAAGGACAATTTGGAAAAGATCGAGCAAAACCGGTGAGTTTGAGTGTGCTGTCCTGTGTCAACCGCAGCCCAAAAATGTGGCGGCTAACACGAAGAGTGCCTAGCCAACTGCCATACCTTGTGGGCAATGTTGTCGAACTCCTTGATCTTGACGTTGAAGCTGAAGCAGCCGAAGAAGGCGCAAATATTGATCTCGACGCCACGCGAGTGGGCAAATCAGCCGTGATCAAGACAAGTACTCGACAGACTATCTTCCTCCCCCTGATCGGTCTGGTGGACCATGACAAACTGAAACCCGGTGATCTCATTGGTGTCAACAAAGATTCATACCTTGTCTTAGATACCCTGCCGGCTGAATACGATTCCAGAGTGAAAGCAATGGAGGTCGATGAAAAGCCGACAGAGAAGTACACCGATGTTGGTGGTCTCGATAAACAGATCGAAGAGCTTGTGGAAGCGGTGGTCTGGCCAATGAAAGAAGCGGAGCGGTTCAAAAAGATTGGCATCAAGGCTCCTAAGGGTGCTCTGATGTATGGACCTCCCGGGACGGGCAAGACTCTTCTCGCGCGTGCCTGCGCCGCCCAAACAAATGCCACCTTCCTCAAGCTCGCCGGCCCTCAACTCGTGCAGATGTTCATTGGTGACGGCGCCAAGCTGGTCCGAGATTGCTTCGCCCTCGCAAAGGAGAAGGCCCCATCGATCATCTTCATTGACGAGCTCGATGCTGTCGGCACGAAGCGTTTCGACTCGGAAAAGAGCGGCGATCGCGAAGTCCAGCGGACGATGTTGGAATTGCTCAACCAGCTTGACGGGTTTGCTTCGGACGAAAGAATCAAGGTCCTTGCGGCCACCAACCGAGTCGATGTTCTTGACCCCGCCTTACTTAGATCTGGACGATTGGATCGGAAGATTGAGTTCCCCTTGCCAAATGAAGAATCTCGCGCACAGATTCTGCGCATCCATTCTCGAAAGATGACCATCGACGAAGGCAACATCAACTTTGACGAATTGGCTCGCTCGACAGATGAATTTGGCGGTGCACAGCTGAAAGCAGTCTGTGTCGAAGCGGGTAAGTTGTGTCTCCTCGTCGGTCGTCGGTCAATTTGCTAACCACTCTCATCAGGCATGATTGCGCTTCGCAAGGGACAATCAAAAGTAAATCACGAGGCATACGTGGAAGCTATCGCGGAGGTGCAAGCAAAGAAGAAAGACACGTGCGTCCCCACGCTCTCCCTATCTGTCGGTTGCAGGAATACTAACACTGGGTCTCGCAGGGTCAATTTCTACGCATAGTTCAACCACGCACTTTTCAAGTCAGCCTTTAGGGAAAACTCATGGCAAGACATGGCATGTACAATACTCAAGCAAGGGACAATGCTTCCAGATAGATGACTGCCATTCCCTGGCAGTTCTATAATCCTTTGGCCACGGCTATGCATTGCGCTCTTCCAGATTTTCTCATCGCCCAACCTGTTCCTCTCTATTCAGCTCTCTGGCCGTATGTAATCCGCCAGACTCTTTTCCAGGAAGTATAACCCAATATGACAGTGGGATCAGGAGCTCCTCGAGATCTAGTTGATGCAACAAAGCCCATTGACCAGATATAGTATAGTTCCGTGTATTGGTCCTCATTGGCCAGTCATGAGACGGCTTCCCAGTTTCCTGCATCAAGTTCATTGTCTCGGTCCAACTTTTGTACCTGCCTGCCACACAACTGTTCATTGCTTTTCACTAACAGGTTTTTTTACTTACGCGTCTACGGCCTATTCAGGCCTGCACAAAATTAGCGGTCGAAGCTTGTGGCGAGCACCTATGGTGAAGGATTCAGTATTTGTGGTGGCATGGCCAATAAGTAGTACAACGGACGCGCCAGAGGGCTTCGCGTGCAGGTGAAACGTGGTTCATATTTTGCTGAAGACGTTGACCAGACCAGATGCCGCATTTCTGTCTCTTCTTGGATCCATCCAGTTGTGTTGATGCCCGGACCGGTAGATGATGGAAGTACAGACAACATACACCCAACATACCCGCCATGAACTGCCGCATTCTGCTGCGGCGTCCCAACCCCAGTGGCTGTCACTTGCATATCTCGAGCAAATGCAGGGCGGCGTGCCAGCGATGCGGGACCAATCTCTTCCGTCTTTGACACCTACTGGAACGCCGCGATATAGGATCAAACCGCGCTTTCAACATCAACACCACGAGTCGGTTGGAAGAAGGTTCCACCATCGATCCTGAACCTGGTCCTCAGCCATTTCAGATGCCTCCATATGAACCCAGGGTCTTTGTCACGCTCAACATGTTATATGAGAGATTTAAGTTCAGTACAGCTGACTTGCAGGGGATGGTTTTCCGATGCACAACGAATACTGTAAGTCTGTCTGGCCGTTAATCATGTGTTTTGCTGCTCAATATCTCTGGTATACCCACATACAGATCATCGGGCAGGATGATTCCTCAATGCTGCGGAAATGGAGTCTCTCACGAGCAGCATGCATTATACATCCGCGTTCGACGCTCCGTTCGAGACCACTGCTCGCCGCTCTGGTCAGGACACTACATGTGCCAGATCCTCATATACCTATTTACTTGGTCAATGGCACTCCAAATCCTGAATACGATGCATACCTCTGCACGCTGGAGTCCGTCGTCATGGAATGCCCAAACCTGTAAGCTTTGACAGGTTTTCGCCACATTCTACAATCACACATCCGACAGACTGACGCACGCATCGTCCACACGGCTGAAACTACGACAGCATGTCTGGGTCATCGTCGAAAACGAAGATGTCAAGTGTCCGAAGTCAGATCCAGTTACCGCCGGGGCTTCTCGACGAACATCAGACCTTCCAGTTCGAGCTTTATCATCCCCGGTGGAAATGTCTCGAAACTCTAATGCTGTGCTCACCAGGCAGTCTTGGAGTGATTGAGCACGAGTTGTTCATTCGCGTCCTCCATTCCCTACCGGCTTTACGGAGCTTGTGCATTTCCTCCTTGGACGCAGATGATTTTCACGACGTGACACTTCTTTCGCTGCCGCCGTGGGTCAGTACGCTGCGGCTGGAGGAATGTCAGGGGATCACGGACGCAGGGTTGATGCAATGGGCAGCGAGCCCCAACGCAGTGCAGATTGAACGGCTGAGTCTGCTCTATCAGAATATCACGAGCTTACGGACACCGTCCAAAATCTCTGCCAGCTTGGGTCGGCTATGGAAGTTTATGATCCTGCAGGCCGATGTCGTGCCTTGGTCGCCCAAGGAGGTGGGATTGGTCCTGTTCCAACCTGTTCTTGCCTGGAAATCTTTAAGGTTCCTCCATTGGGACATTCTGTGCCAGTCGCCAGAAGGTTCCAACTGCACCCATTGTCTCCATGAAGCCCGGCAGCAAATGCCGAACACGCATCTTGCACTGTCAATCTCCCACAATGGGTTCCCTTCATTGAGGCATTTGCGTGCCCCTCGAGATGTCTCTCCGCCTGGCGTTCTACAGTCTGTTTGCCAGCCCATGGAAGAGGATAACGTTCTTCCAGGCAATGGCCTTCTGTATCAACCGCAGGACTTGGCTAGATCGAATCGCTTACTGGTAACTCGTCTGCGTGCTCAGAGCATTGCTCACCAGATCGCTGCGGAGGGAATGAATTCAGTTCTTCCACGTGCCCTTCGACATTCAGCGGTAACAGGTTGGAGCGCCGGGCTTGATCCAGAACAAAAGTCCAATGGCGAAATGCCAATGCCTGCCTTCAATTTATGGGAGCCAGTTGCCTCCTATGGCCCCAGGGGAAGCAGGGACACACCCCCTACAGATCTGCCCATTTCTCCCAATACTTGCCCCTTCTCGCCACCAGCTCCGGATGATGGCATCATCTCCCCAATTACTACAGAACGGGAAGAAAGGTATTGGTTTGGCGGAGGCCCAGACAAGGAAGCGACAGGAGGGCCACAGCGAACGAATGCATCCCTCAAGGAAATGGCACACCGGGAGTCTATCTGTTGGGCTACTCCAGGTCCGAATCGAAGGGGAAGGAGCATGTGCGTCTGCGAAGAATGGGGAGGTCAAAATGTTGAAGAACGAAGATGTGGCATCTCACCGCCGCCCCGTAGTCCTCTCCAGCCTGCACCTGGTGTTATCAGTCTTGCGCCCTCTGTTCGTGGCAATATTCCCGCTCGGAATTTCCCCGAACCTCAAGTGATGGATCGAAAATGGACCCCGGTTTCAAGTGGCGCAACAAGAACCAGTCCACCTGCGCGTCCCATCTTCTGTCTGCAGCCAGACATTGCAGGACGGGATGAGAACGAGGGCTTAATCGAATGGGGCGAACTCTTAAAGATCTGTGAAAAAGTCAAAGTACGCACGAATGATGCGAACGCCGCGAGATCCGATAGGCAAGATGCCAAGCCAGATGAAGGTGATGGCCACGGTCAAGGACATACAGGCGACGAGTGTACAGGCTGCTGGAACCGATACATCTATTCTGAAGATCAACCCGGTGAAGTCGTGACAGTCCTGTCTGCGCCGCCCACAATGAGCGGCAGCTCTGGAACGAAAGGCCGACCGAGGTCGAAATCCAAGTCATCCTCGAGATTGAGCTTGTCTCTGGGCCACCGAGGCTCGAAGGAGAAGATTCGCAGCGAGGTGTCGTCGTCGAGGCATGTGGCGCGTCCGAGAGGGGACAAAGGCGGATGTGTGTCCGCCTCGGATTTCTTTTAACCATGTAATGTAGTGTAATGAATGAGCTGTGCCTGGTGTGCTCAAGCTTGTCCTTTCGACCGTGCCTCTCTGCCAGACCATCTCGTGGCGGTGTTTGTGCTCAGAACGGACACACCTGTAGTAACCTGCGTGACAGAACACTCGGATTCTTTGAGCCTCCTCGCCTTGGCCAGCAGAAGGCAAGATATGAGGATTAGAGTGCAACTGTCTTGACCATGCGCTGGCTGCTCACCTGTCCTGACCTTTGACATGTGCTAGTCATGTGCTGATGATAGTACATATAATCCCCTCATGCTCCGTACGTGGGAGTATAGAAAACAGTCGCCAGCCGGTCTACGCATAGATACAGGCCATAGAAAGGCGACGTCAAACGGGGGTGTCTTGTTTATTTTGATTTGATTGAACTGGTTTCTTCTTCTCCAAAGGTTGTGTTCTATATACCGTCCCTCCCACTCCCACTGCCACTCCCGCTCGCACGGCTACATATTCCCCCAACATGGTCTCCCTCGCCGACATCCAGCTCAACAACACTTCCCTGCTCACCCCCGGCAGCGGGCCCGTGTGCGCGCTGGTCGGGTGCACAAGCGGGATCGGGCTGGCGACACTGCACGCAACGCTGCGATATACGTCGTCGCCGACCGTCTTCCTCGTCGGGCGGGGCGGGTCGGCGCGCCTCGAGGCACTCGTCGCGGAGGTGCAGGGCTGGAACGCATCGGCGCACCTCGTCCCCGTCGTCGCCGAGGACTTGACGCTCGTGGCCTGCGCGCAGCATGCCGCCGCCGTAATCGCATCCAAAGCGTCCCGCCTGGATTTGCTTATCATGTCCCCCGGGTACTTGTCCTTGAGTGCCGCGCCCGACGTCTCCCCCGAGGGCCTCGACCGCGTTACGAGCATTCGCTACCACGCCCGCATGCGTATCCTGCTCACGCTGCTGCCGCTGCTGCGCGCGGCGCCGTCGCCGCGCGTGCTCAGCGTCTTAGCAGGCGGGAGAGAGGGCGCATTGAACCTGGTCGATCTTGGCATGACGCTCCCCGGTACATATGGCCCGTTCTACGCCGCCGGGGCCGCGGCCGCCATGACGACGCTGTTCTTCGAACACCTCTCCAAACGGCCTGGGAATGAGAGGATCGTCTTCCTACATATCTGCCCCGGCGTCGTCTACGGTACGGGCCTCAATTTCCAAAAATCCAACTCCCCCGGCAGTATTCATACCGTCGTCTCGCTCCTGTGGGACTGGGTCTTCAAGCCCGTATTTAGGGCCCTAGGTTACAGTCCCGCCGAGGCGGGCGAGAGGGTCCTCTTCGCCGCGACGAATGGGCGGTTCCGCCGCGTCCAGGGGGACCCCGAGCGCGCGCGGGGCACCTTGATCCAAGAGGGCAGCGACGGCCTCTTGGGCAGCGGCGTGCACCTCGTGAAGGCCGATTCGAGCGTCGTTGAAGGCGGTGGCAACAGGGAGCTGATGAGGTTGAGGAACGAGATGGACGGCGCGAGGAAGGTATGGGAGTACACAATCGCCGAGTTTGAGAGGATTGAGAGAATGTGAAAACAAATCCTCCGTACTATGACGTGAAGGATGAAAACGATACCGGGGACGTACAGAGAAAGGGGGAAGAGAGAGCAATGTGTTGTCAAGGGAAAAGGCATAGCTGCACACGCCGATGAACACGCCTCATCTTCGAGAGAGTGCTCTCACTCGGTAGGGTATGGTATGTTTGATGAGATGTCTGACCTTTTTGGCTCTAGGAAGCTCCGCTCGAGCAAGAGTCTTCATGGATAGGGATGGTTTGGTCAGGAGCTGACGACCCCCCGAATGCCCGTCCACGCCCCGGTGTGCTCGAGGCGCCCAGCTGTTTCAATGCCACCATCAAGGCCAAGAGCGATGCTATCTATCTATCCTGAACACCAATATCAGCTTGTACGCAGTATTCTGCCCAACCTGTCGGTGACGCCCAAGTGGCAAGACGGGATGAATGAGGAACCTGCTCAGTCGCCCGCTTTGGACTTCTGCGGAAACCACGGTTTGTTTCCATCTCATCTTAATTGAAACACGGAGAAATGCACTCGCAGGGGACATTCCCCAGGCCATGCATGCATCTGAACTCTGGTCAAAGACACCAGATCCCGAAGTTACGGGCCACTCAGAGTCGAGAGCCGGGCGCTGGGCCGGCTGTTGAAAGCTCTTGGACGAAAGGCGAGGTCTGATTCCTCCATGCTTGCCTGCCTGCTTGGCCTCAAACAGATACTGATTGGTCCCGTCCAATTGTTTCCGTTAACGCAGCCATGTCAGATCTGTCATCGTTTGGAAGTCAGTGGGTTCGCCACTGGGCCGATATGCTTCTCTCGTTTACCGGATTCATCGGATCGCTCGTGCCAACTATTGAAGCACAAGGTCACGCATATTTGTCCGGTAGATGTCAAGGGCTATGTCGTTCGTTTCGGTGTGAAAGGAAATAGAATCGGTCAAGTATGAGCTATTAATCGAGCGTCGCTTCCTGAACGAGATTTACCTCTCGCCAGTCTCGCTCGATAGTTCCTCTGTCCAAATCGGCTCGCCAAACGCTCAATTGCCAGCGTGGAGATCCGTTCTGTGACTTTTCCATTAAGTGGAACCGTATTGGAAAGACAAAGTGTATTCTATAGCCGCGAGTCTTCTTCTGGAACGCCTCTCTGACCGGGCGGCCGTCTCTGGACTCTAGGACATGCCATACCTTTAGCATCACATTCGCGTCTAACAGTTGGTCGGAACCTGCTTGCTGGGGAATATTGATGGTCCAGGTCCCCGGGTTCGGCGAGAAGGTTGCTGTTCGCAAGTTGGGAAATTTGTCCAAGTTTAGCGCCCATGTCGACTCAAGCTCGGAGACATTCAGCCGCACGTGGCGCACCTCATCCAGGCTGTGCAAGGCCTTCATCCTGCTCACAAACGAGTGCAGGGCTTGCTCGCAATGGAGTTCCCACATGGCCATCTGGATAAATACACGCTGTGCCTCGCTCCTCACCTGCCCCGGCGGCGCAGACTTCAGTAGCCACTGGTGGTCTGCACGATAGGGGCCCGTCGCATCGGAGAAGCATAACAGCCAGACTTCGCGGTCACAGCGACCCGGTTGCCGCTGAAGGCGTGTGCAAAGACGTGCCAGCGGATTTCGGCGGGCAGCTCTGTCAGGCGTGCGATCACATCCTGGAGTCGCTTGTCGCGAGTTTCAGTGGGGAAAAAGTATGGGCGGGCATTGAGAGCGTGGAAGTATGAGGTCTCGGCTACTGCTGACTCGGACATGGCGATGAAATACTGATTGTCAGGGGGATGAGTGTGCACAGTATGTCCAGCTTTCACATCATCGGCCTGAGCAGATGCTTCACTGTAGAGGAGCCTGATTATCAGCAGCTGAACACCAGCCCCATGCTGAGGGTGCTCCGTTGTCAACAGCTGGTGATTTGTGCTCCGTAAGGTGGTCGGAGGAGGTATGGCAGACTGACGAGATGGTTTACTGCACTTGGTGACAAGGACGGCAAGGACAGCAGAGATGGTATCTGATGCCCAAGTGCAGTACGCACAAGGTACGGAGTCTGTAGAGATGATGGTGCACCGTATCCATGACTACGGTGACGCAAATGGAGGCAGCGAATAATCATCACGTGCCGATATCTGCTCTACGTGCAACAATATCCAATATCTGGAAAGTGTCACTCCCCACAGCCAACTGTAGGAGATCACAAAGGAACTATCCAAATCTCCATAGTAATAAGAAGTGCTGGTAGGCTTGAGAATGTAAAATGCTTTTCTATTTCGCATAGCTGGAAGCCCAACTGCCCAGAAGAGCAAGAATATGCTAATGAATAGACACTTCTGTGAAGGGGCGCCGCCGAAAGATGATTGTGTTTCCTGGTTGGCGAGGTGGTAGTACAGATAACGAGGTACGGCTTCGCAATGTGACAAACCCGAAACTGGCCAAGTGCATCAATTCGTGGACAATCGACTCTCTGAGCTATGATGACATCCATCAGATGACAACCTGTGGCATATCCGACAAAGGGTCAGAATGCTCGTTGCAATAATAAAAGCTGGAGTTGATAAATGGCAATGGAGCTTTTCACCGTCTTGTTCACACTAAACAGTCCTCATCACCATGGTTTTCATGCACCAAGTGCCTCATGCACCCGTTCGTACGGAGTATTGGTCCTGCCTTGACCGACTGCGAGAAGATGCCTTGGCTGTGTGCGGATGTCTCGTATGTCGGAATATGTCGTGATAATCGTCATCATCATGGTCCAGTGTCTTTGGAAGACTGTCGACGCGAAGTGGATGTCCTCCGGTGGCGGCGGTGGATAGGTGATTCAAAACGGCGACATCGTTACTGGATGTCTTGAGAGCGGCTAAGCGTTGCTTTGGCTTCATAGATCGAGACTTTATCGGCAAGGATGGCACTGGAGGTAACTCTCGATTCGGGGGTGGCTTTGCGGGTGGATCAGAAGGAGGCCGAGGGAAGTATCTCACACCCTCATCTGACGACGCGCTTGTGCTATAGTTCAGGTACGTGAATGCACCAGTCTCAATCGATTCACCAAAAGACAGTCTCGGATCCACTTGACTGTCATTATTGTGCCAGTTATTCCACTGTTTTTGCTTGGGTGTGTCCAGGTCATCCGACCAAGGCACCTGTTTGCGAGGGACAGCGGTCACTGCGCGGCGACCGCTCCGGTGCAGGGATTGATCGCGAGAGCGGGGACTATCTGCGACAACCGTGTCAGAGACGCCGTCGAAATTGAAAGACAATAGTGAGCTGACGGAAGTTGTCCCAGGCGTCGTGGTTGCGCTTGGTGGAGTGTGACTGATGGGCGATTGAACCATTGGAGCGCCTGGAAGAAAAGCCTGCTCCTCCCGTTGTCTTGGGTCTCTGATGATGGGTCGTGGACTTCGCGAGCTCCGACGCAGGTGATGCTCTGAATTGTAGGCCTCTAATCCTTTCTCGGAAAGTTTCTTCTCCCGAATCGGAATAGTTTTGCTTGTTTCTCTGCTCTCTGATTTCTGTTGAGCTGCACAGTGGAGTCGATCGACACCGGCAAAGCGACGGATGAGATCACCCAGCTTGTGCCCCAATTGCCCGCTACTCAGACGCGCGGAGGGATCTCGCTCCAGGCACTGAAGAATTAGTTGCACAACAGGGCCCAGAGCATGAAATACCTGGCCTCCGTCCTTTTTCGCTTTCTTTTCAGCTTCGTTCTGGAGAGCCTGAGCCCACAAGAAGACCTGGCCAAGGTTTGCGTGGAAACTCGCATCGGCTAAACCCCCACCACGGCCAGCCATTCGATTTTTGGCGGATCGATGTCGTGAGAACGAGCCGTAACTGCGTTTGCAGAGCAAATTCAGGATATCCATTATCACTGCCCCAAGTGAAAACACATCTGATGCGAACATGTCCTGTTCCACGGACTGCCAGGTCTGGACGACAGCGCTCCGACCCTCCGGTGCCGAGACGAAGATTGGGTTGTTGAGCGAAGGGCCACTCTTGCCATTTGAGCTAGTAGATGATAGGATTGAGGGTGCCCTTCCCGAGACAACCGGATCAACGCCAAGCCGTGCCGTATCTTGAGTTGACACGGATCTGTTGTCGGTTGGTGACACCATGTCCCGGCCGCGACTAACGGGTTGGGGCGGAGCGTCGGGACTCATGGCTGCGCTCAAGCGTAACCTTGCATAGCCTCCCCTCGAAGTGGGTTGAAATGTGTAAGTTGCTCCAGACGAAGCGGACCTGCTTCTCGCACTATTCCTTCCGTCTGAAGACTGCAATCTTGCACTTCCACCCACCTTCCGGCCCGACCGCCCGCCAGAGGGGAGCGAGACGGCGGCGGACCCGGTGCTCTGAACGGTCACCGCTCGCTTCCATCGCTCGGGTGGACCGTACTGGTAGGCTTCGATGTCGTCATGGCGAGGTTTGTGACGAAGCAACCCATCTCCGTCTAGGAGACCTAGCGAGATACGGAAGGAGTCATCAACTTGGATGTTGGATGGGCGAATGCCACCATGAAACTCGCCGTTCTCATGTAGCCAGGCCAGAGCGCCGGCAAGGCAGTGTGGCCAATTGATCAGGATTCGTCGTCGCTCGGGCTTTGGTAGAGCACTGAAACTTTTGGGAGTGTCCGTGAGAAATGTCTTGAGACTCCATTCGGCCGCTGGGGCCGAGAGGACATTGAAGGCGCCTTGGTGGAGGTATGAACCGAAGACCGACACGATATGTTCGTGACACAGTCTTCGGCTTGCCGCGATTTCATTCAATATGTCCTCCTCCGTGAGCGGAGCTTCGAGAACGATGCGGCGGCGAATGAAAATCCTTTGATTATCGGACGGTAGTCGAACCCTGTCTGTGCCTTCGTGACCGAGCGACAGAACCACAGATTTCAAACTGAGAGGGACGATTGGGACTGTTTCTTCATCGGCATAACGGATATGCTCCCCTGCGCCCACGATACGAGTAAGGAAGCGGAACTGGTTCTTGTAGAAACGTTTGTCCAAAGACCTATCCGGTTCATAGGATAGTCGGAGATCGGGGACGGCTTGCTCAATGATAGGCAGGTCTTCATCATCGTACGAATCATCGATGATGCCAAAGATCTGATCGGGCACTCCGGTGGCGACGAGGATGAGAAAGAAGCGCTTTGCCCGGGTCAAGATCCAGTCCAAGTAGGTGTCGTCGGTCAGATCTCCTCCAAAATACAAAGGGCGCTGAAGATACTCCTGTTCATCTGCACGGAGGTGAGAATGGACATATGCGGAAGTGACGGTCTCGTCCACACGCTCATCCGTCCACAGCGACATGATTCAGACGATTCGCCCGCGCCCGCGCCCTCGTGAGCAGGATGATAGCAAGAAGGCCAACGTCAAGGTGAAGTTTTGAGTCGGTGGCTAGCAAGTAAGCCATAGTCTTATCGGAGAGCATCCGGCCAGGACAACAGGGACTTCTGAACAAACACGTGGAAAGTGGGCAGCAGGCATAGTTAGTGACTTATAGCAGGAACCAAAAGGGACGCCAGGAGCAAAAAGCAGCTGCGATGCTTACTCTACAGGAGATGAAACCGGGGAAGAGGTCGGGATAGATCGAAGGATGGGGAATCCTGTTGTCTTATTTGGCTCAAATTGGGAATGTCTGTCAGGCAGGTCGCGTGGATGGAGTGGAGTGGGAACGGTCGCGCATGGCAAAGGGCAGCCTGAGAGGATAGCTAGAGTGAGAGATAGAGGATGCAATATCGAGTGGGGGTCAGCCTACTACCAGGTAGGGGAGGCGCGAGAGAAGTACCAGCTCACTAGATAACATGGGAGGTCCAGGAGTAAGACGGAGGGGACAAGGCACAACACACACCTTATCTCACCAACCAGGGGTAAGGAGTGACAGCCATCTCTTCAACCCTTGCTGGCTCTAGAAAAACAGTGACCTCTGCAAAGACAAGGGTGGCGTTTTCACACTTCCTCCTTTTTCTTTTCTGAGACCTCTCTGCACCCCCCGGGAGGGAGTAGTGGGAACAGGAGCTACTGGGAGCGTAGTCAGGACTGAGTAATGTGCCGGTTCGGATGGCGATAATCGAGGGGACTCGGTGTTGGGGGTGATATTGGACATGGCCGTGACGAACTCCCCCGTGACTCTTGTGCCTTGCATTGATGGTTCCTTTTGTTTTTGGCAGCACAGTGATGTCGTGGCTCGTCTGTGGTTGATCGCTTCGCGGCGGTGGCGGCTGCAGCGGCAACGGGGCGACGGTGGGTGGGACTAGAGGAGGCGTAGGGGGAGAGAGAGAGAGAGAGACAGGAAGAGAGAGCGAAGATCGGATGCACGGTGAATGAATGACTGTTGACAACTGCCAAGGGACACCTCCGACTGGTCGCTCACCAGCCTTATCAACCACCACAGAGAACTATCACTAGTCGCCGAGTCTCTCAAGTCAAATAAATGACAAGTCTCTGGCTCTGAGTCGCGTGGGTCTTTGATCTTTGGCAGAAGCAACCAACCTCGGCTCTCCCTTCGATAACAGCTCGTCACCATCCAACAAGACCCTCCGTTCAACGACCAGGCGACTTCCGCACGTTGACAAGGGCTGCTTCGGTCCTTTGTGTGGGGCAACTTCTGGTTCGGGGAACGACCAAGACGGATTACGGCAACACGGATCTGACTGGGTGCCTCCAGAGTCAGAAGTGAGAGCGAAAGGCTGGGTTTGGACTCAACAGGGGACTGACATGATCGGCAGTTCAAATGCCCCAACAAGACTCCAAGGACCCGATGCACGGCTCCCAAGTATAAGAAGGAGCATGATGACCACTCCTGAGCACACGTTGGCGCTGTGCCGTAGGGCCTTCCATCTACCTGCTTGAACCGTCCACGGTTCAAGGATCCCTAGAGGAAACCACTCTCCACCGATATAATCCCGCAGGACCTGAAACAGGGCGGGACAATTGGACCACATCGGCGCAAACAACCACCAAGGGGTCATCCTCATTTTCGACCACACATACCGACCTCGCACACAGTAGTACGGCTGTCGAGCTTGTCCCGTTTTGTCTATATGGCTAAAGGCTGCCATTCATCGCCAAAATGTGTCTAAATCAATATCACAATCAGCCGCTCGGCGCAGCTCCAGGAGAAAAATGTGCCGTTGAGACAATTTCTCACCAGAAGCCACCGGGTGCTATTGCCGTCCCCCATCCATTTGTTTTACCACCAGTCATTGCTTTTGCTCACGTCCCATCTAGCTGCCGAGTAATAACACTGGTCTAGCTAGGCCCGTGGCTTTGCGTCATCCCTTTGGTCGTCAGTATATCCCAAGCATCGTTTCTGCCGTAGCAAAGTCCCAATATCCGGTGCTCAATCGTGCCGACCACGAACAACTCAAAAAGGGCACTACCCTTACTCACCTCGCACCATGAAATCAACACAGGCGTGTTCATTTAACGTATACTTCAAGGCACGCATACATGCACTTACTGATATGGTTAAAGGTGGCAATGTAGCGTCCATTTCAGTTCTTACGAAAAAATGGATCGCCTGGACTCGTGGCACGCACACTCAACTGGGAGCCTAGAACCATTCGCAACGGGAGCTTGAAAGGGATGGATCATTACCTTACGCCTTCTCGGGTTACATAAGAGGGTTTGGTCGTTCGGTGCCTGGAAAAATGGTGATGCATATACCCCGGACTCAAAATGTCTTGGGACACAAGATCGGAGGATGTCGCCTAAGTTCTCAAGGTCGGTTCGAGACGAAGCGGCTATGTGAGCTGCCTCGTGGTTGCTCATCTTAGAAGAATCTCGAAAGCCCCAGTTCGTCCACATGTTCATCCTTGGCCGGTTGGAAGCAGGGAGCAGGAAGGTGGCTGTAGAAAAGGATGCATGGCATTCAGTCTTCCGAGTCGAGATCCTGGCTTCGAAGGAGCGTTTGGTTGCTCGGCATGAGATGGTTTGCGACGGTATCTACAATACTTTCACATCTCCTCAATATCCCATGGACGGGAGGCACACGGTATCCACCGCGAGAGGAACGGCTCCTCCCAGATAATCGCAGGTCCGGCTCTGACCGATGCTCAAACCACGGCCGCAGCGGTGCTGAGAGCACAGACACAAGGGTGTGGTCATGTGTTGTGAAGCAACGGCCGTGGGATGAAACGCCCGCATATCAATCGTCCAGATACTCCGGGGCCATACGACCGCCTGCAGATATGCTACGAAAGTACGCATTCGACATTGCCCTCACTACACGTGGAGGCAGGGGGATGGTTCGAGGAGTGGTTCTGAGGAATGTCCGAGCTGGAGGCTTTGACAGCGCCAGATCATTGCCAAGTCTGCAGAATTGCGCGAAACCGGGGAGATTGGGCACCCCTGATCGACAACCAGAGAACACATTTCAGGCCCGAAGAAACCCCTTGGGAATTGTCTTGATTCGGGTGCACAAGTACTGTAGGAAGGGCAGATTCAGAGTCCAGCTGACGGGTTATTGGTAAATGCTGCGCGGGCCCGGCTATACGGACATAGGTATACTCCGTACAATGTTGCAATATAAAAACTCGTCCTCATCTTTTCAAGGTGCCAAGACCAAACAGCTGATATCAACAAAACGACGGTGGAAGGTCCTGGACGTGTACCGAGTACGAGGATTACTAGCGCCACCATCGCCGACCCAAAGCTGTGTCTCGCAAACTGGAGGGCCAAATCTCGCGGATGGCTTGATGAGATGAGCCGGATGAGACACAGTGGTGACGGTGCGGTTCACAGCCACAAGTTCCTTCGTCCTGGTGCCTTCTTAATAATAGCATCTGTCCACACCAGTGACGAAGTACCCGTAAGCTCCGGAGTTATAACGGCTCGAAGCCTGACATGCAAGGCCGAAATACGCTGGACAAAAGCACAGTCGTCAGGATGGGATTCTCTGGGCACGGGCCAGCAACACGAGGCAAGTGCGGCCCAGGTTCGATTCGATGCTCGTGCTTCGTATAGCGAGGTACTGTAAGTGCCTGATGGGATCGTCAAATGGAGAGCTGTTCCCGCTTGCCAGCGAGCTTCAAAGAGGACCTCAAGGCGCGCAACCCTATTTCCTTGGGTAGAGAAAAAATGCTACACACCTCATGCGCAACGGCCCAAGATGATCCACAGGCGTTCGCTAAGTCGCTCAGTCCCCTTGGAGCCCTGGTCTCTTCGCTGGACAAAAGAATTTCAAGTGCAAGGCTAAACCACAGAGTTCCCGTTCTGCTTTGGAAGCCCCTGTCACGGAAATGTGGCTCGCACGATCCACGAGGGTCTAGAACACGCCAACTGTCATCCTCGACCACCCCGATCCTAGGGATTGGCACTCCACTGCAATGTTCTGCATAGCCAGATGCCTGTGCCTAATCCTCTCCCTGCTCGTTGTTGGGCCTGTTCGAGTGCCCACGTAACTTTGGAGCTCGAAAAATGGCGCGAAGGCTACGGTGCTGTACCTGCAAGTGCTCCAGCCCGTCTCCTTGACCGCGCCTCACCCGCTCAAAGGGCCATCAAGACAAAAGACCCTCACATCTGGTCGTACATGAGTCTGCTGGCCCGACGCAGCCGACTGCTTTCCTCGACATCTTTTCTTCTTTGTTCGATCTCACCAAGTTTCCGTTTGCCAAAAAGGCTGTTATCTAGGCATTTCGCGGTGTGAGACTGCCTCTTGACCCTCGTCGTTACTCGCTTTTAATTCCTGTCCTTCGTTAACACTCTTCTCCGCTCTCTGGTTGGGCTTCTGGCACCCAATCTTCCTGAGAACTTCCAAACTCGTCCTTGCCGCTTGGGCCCAATCGTCTCTGCCTTCGACGTTCTTCCGCGAGCAGATCTTCATGGGCTTGCGATATCGTTCCCGCCAATGACCTCCCAGCCGCTGCCGCTGGATAATGGCTTGCCCACTGTATCCAAACGGCATCCGGTAGTCGTGCAAATACAAGAGCTTTCCCTATGCCTGTCAAGGAGAGGCAGATGCGACGAACTCACCCATGGCGTTGTAGGGATTTTCGGAAAGTCGGAAGACGGCCTGCGGGATGGTTCAAGATCCATGTTGGACGGACTAGGACTGAAGAGACCCTACAGTGATAGTGGACAGGAACAGAAACAAACCTCACGCCCCAAGCCACGGAGGAGATCGTCGTCACTCGGATCGCTGGATGGTATGAACATGGGGCTGGAAGGCTGCTTCGGTCGGAGGGAGCAACCGGCGAGGATCTATAAAACTAGAAGTTCTGATGCCGTGGGCCCGTTTATCGCAAGAGTGGAAAATCAGAGGCATGAAGGAATCTATCAGGATATGGTCAGAAATCGCCCGGCGTTCTCAGACATTGCTGCCGCTCCCACCAAACTTCCGGGACCGTTGCCCACCCACGGCTGGTTCCATCCTTCACAGTTCCTCGGACAAGTCCTCAACGGGCCTTGTGGGATTGTACCGCCCCTCACCCCTCCAGAAGACCTTGACTCTTTCAAATGGGAGACGCCGGCACAGACAGATGCTAGTGGAGGTGTTCAGACTACATCAAACGTTGACCCAGGTGGTTCACAAAGCCAGAGACAAAGTCAACCTCGCACGAGCTCCACATCCCGTCCATCAGAGATACGACTACCAGAACCATCAAATATGGCACGGGACGAATCAAGCAGATCAAACTGGCTTGAACGAGTCAGCCAGCATCTGGGTAAGATACTGTTTGGCCCAAACAATCACCATCTACTGACTGGATGCGTAGTTTCTTCTATTGGCGACTCAACCAGCCAGCACCAGATTCAAATGGTCGTTCAAGCGTTACCCTCTCAACCAAGGTCGACGGACACGATGCCAATCTACAACAGAGTTGTTGAAGACGTCCAAACCCATTTCACATCCCCACCATACATCACTATCACGCATGCGTACTCCCAAGCAATCAGCATCGACGAAGTTCCAGCCTCACCTCCAGCGACACCAAACACCAACCATCCGACTGACGACTACTTCCAGGATCACACTGTCTTCATCCATGCCGCCGCTGTTCCGGCTTACCACTCCCAGACGACGGCGTACAGCGCGGTTGGTCCACGTCCATCGAACATCATCGCGGCTCCCAGCAGCATACAGATCTCGATTCTAGAGCGGTATATTCCGCCTACGACGTCCCGGGAAATAGAGGACTTCTTCACGCTGAGCAGGCGGTCGTATTTGGCAGACAGACTGCTTGAATTGTCGTCGAATGACGGCTCTTTGCTCCTGGTCTATCCAACCAAGCAGGGAGGACAAACATTCGCAAACCGATACATCGGACCGGTCATCGAACCCTTTCTGCGACAGTTTATTCTTTTGAACAACCTTTACACCGACATTGCGATCCAATTAGGCAGAATGGCAGCGGTCTCGAGTATGAAGAGCTTCGAGGAGATGCAAACCCTCCTCGCGGCGATGTGCGAGGCACTCGGTCAGCGAGCGCCTTCCCGAGGGCTACCGAGTCGATACCAGATTGTCCACGCTGAAACGGCCGAGGTGGTACTGGACCGTGCCTTGTGGAGAGAGTGGTACATTGAACAAGAGCAGCCGCGCCTACGACAGAACTTGGTGGACTATCACAAGGGGGGTGGTCGTATGCCAGCGAGAAGCGGACGGATTGAAGTGACACCCGGTATGCTTGCAAGAGAGGTCGTTGACGGGATTCGTCAAAGTCGGGAAAACGCGGGCAATGTTGGTGTGGAGGTTGGTGTGTTTGTCCTTCGACGCACGACCGTTGTGTAATGATTTTTTGCGGACAAGAAACTGCACTGTCCACAACACGGCTGGCGGCTGGGTATACAACATGGCAGTGCGATTGATCAAGCAAGGCGTTGCGGGCTGACAATAAAATGAGGTTTTCGGGCGCGGGGCGCGTTTTGGGAGCCACAGGGCAATGAATGAGCAATGAGATACCCAGCGGACTGTCCAATTCTAACGAAGACTGTCAATGCACATGAACAAAGACATGCTCATTGGTACCAGTGCACTCCGGACAGAGTACTTGTTGAGCCATACCTGGTTCACTCAGGGCGACGTGATTCTTGCGGACCGGCACCAAGGTCCTTTACCGAGACTGACGTCTACGGCGTTTTCCTCCACCAGGTCATGAGCAGTCACTATCAAAATTAGCAACGCTACGCTATGTGAGGATGACGGGTGTGTGTCGTCAAGCGAAATTGTTCGTGTTTCAGAAATCTTATCGTACAGTCCAAGATCAAGATAAGTTGTACAGGGGTTCCCGATGGAAATGGCTCCGAGAAAAAGGAAATGCTTGCGGCATCTTAGGCATCTCGGTGTTTCATACCTAACGAGCCAGGAACGAGGGTGTAGGGGGGAATGGGGGGCAGCCAACCAACCAAGCTTTTCCTCCTAGGCACGCCAGACAAACTCTCCCGGGGTGCCGGGGCAGCCTTGCACCTAGAAGGACGTGTACCTTGGTAACAGTCGCTACAGTTCCCTATCTCGACCACCTGTGAAGCTCGGTAGAGACATGGGCGAGCAGATAAAGGGCCAGCGGGACAATCTTGCATCCTTGCCATTCATCATTCACCCACCGAGCCACCCACGCCTCTCCGCCTCTAGCCACCTCGCCACCTTGGAGCCCGCGTTATCGATTCGGCGACATGGATTAAAACGGGGATATAATGCATGAAACTTGTCCATCTCCCTCCACGCTATGACCCAATCGTTATCGCGTCTTCCAACTTTCCTGTGCGCTGAGCTTGCCATTGATTAGGTTCGGGGCAGCTTGCAGCGGGAGGTGACCTTGGATTTTAGGATTAATCGCATTTCCCTGGCCAACTGGATGCGGGATGTGCAAGTGGTGGCGGTGGTAGCGGCTGAATTGGACCATGTTGAAGCTCTCCTCGAATTTCATCACGGCATGTCGAACTTCTTCCCTTCATTGTCCCCTTCGCCACTCGTTCGTCCTTGCCATTGTCGCTGCTGGCGCCATTGATGATGTTTGATGTCTGTCGCTCTTGACTGACCTGTTGTCTCCTCCCTCGTTTGGTCCTTAGTTGCTGTCGCGCGTGCTCTGTGAAGGGCACTGCGCCTGCCCATCGCTATTTGCTCGAGCGTTGCTGCTGCGCCAGCGGCTCGTCTCTCTTTGTCTTTACCCTAACTTCACTCGCAGGCGGTAGAGTCACTCAAATCCATTGCCTTGAGAACGAGATTTTTCTCCTCTTTTGCACATATTTATTTGTCACTGCTGGTGGTTGGTTTATGACCGATCTCGGACGCAGCCTGCCACTTTACCACAACTGCTGGCCCTTGTGAGCGATTGAAACTCGAAGATTCTCAATTCCTAGAAGTGTTTTGACATCAATACTGCACTTAATATCACCTTTCTTCAACCAAGATTCGTCAACGCTGAACGAGAGCATGGGTGCTCAACCAGCCTTGATCCTCCTGGTCCTTGCGGCCATCTGCGCCACTATAAATGCCATTCCCACTATCTCAGCCGTCGGTTCCAAGTTCTTCACGAGCGACGGCAACCAATTCTTCATCAAAGGTACGTCCGAGCCCCCCTGAGAGCTCTTCCCTATGTGGGCTAACTGGACTGTTCTGCGCAGGTGTCGCCTACCAGCTAGTCGAAGATGACCCTCTCGTGAATACCACCCAATGCAAACTGGATGCCGCGCTCATGCAGCAGTTGGGCGCCAACACAATTCGTGTGTACCACGTGGACGCCACTGCAGATCATTCAGGTTGCATGAACGCTTTCGCTGATGTTGGGATCTATCTGTTTGTGGATATGGACAGCTTCAAAACATACATCCGATACGTACGGGCGGTGACAATGACCCATGGCAAGAGACGGGGGCAGCTGACACCTGACCAGGAATCTGACTCGTCGTGGACCGCGAACAAATCGGCGTCGTATCGAGCTGTTATGGACAACTTCCAACAATACGACAACACCGCCGGCTTTTTCGTGGGCAACGAGGTGCTCAATGTTTGTATGTGGCAAATCACTCTCGCTCGGGGTCGGGGAAACCTACTTACGACCCAACAGTGGCCGATTCTGGAGCTGCTCCTTATCTTCTCTCTGCCGCCGTCGACCTCAAGAGCTACCGGGACGCCAAAGGCTACCGCAAGATTCCCATCGGCTATTCGGCGACAGACACTGCCGTGCTTCGACCTATGCTTCAGGACTACTTGGTGTGCCGTCCTAACGTGACCGAACGCCTCGATTTCTATGCATTGAACAGCTACGAGTGGTGCGGGTCGACCCCTGATTTTCAAACTTCTGGATACATTGGGTTGCAAGCGCTTGCCGAGAATTATCCGGTCCCCATCTTCTTGTCAGAGGATGGCTGCAATACCGTGCCACCGCGAACATTCGACGATCAAGCTGCAATCTTTGGTCCGCAAATGGTTGACACCTGGTCTGGGGCCATTATATACGAGTGGATTCAGGAAATGAACGCTTATGGACTCGTCTCATATGGTCCGCCGGTCGGACCAGACGTCAACGTGGGGTCAACCATTGTGCAAGGGTAGATGATGGCTGCCAAACTACGAGTTACACGCGCGGGAGAGCTGACCGAGTTACAGATTCACCCGCCAAGGAGTCCCGACTCCGGTGTCGCCGGACTTCAGTAACCTCCAACAACAATGGAAGACGCTCAATCCCACCGGCGTGAGTTCTGCTCCGTACGCGGCGACGGTCAAGACCACTCCACCGACTTGCCCAAGTTCTACCGCAGGAGGATGGACAGTGGACCCTAGCGCGCCTCTCCCCACGATCGGAGTTGGAGCCGTTTCAGCAGGTATGCCAAGCGGCGTGCCGAAGGGCAGCATTACAGTGGCCTCTTCTGCCGCCGGGACCCCTTCTCCTTCTACTTTGCTTTCTGTTCTCACTTCTTCCCCGTTGCTGTCCAAGTCGACTTCGCAGACCAGGAGTACTTACAGCTCGACAGTCACCCCGTCGATCAGCTCGAAGGCCAGCAGCACTACATCCGGGGGCGCCAGCTCGGCCACCTCAGAAGGAGCTGCTGGCAGAACCGTTTCCGGACCTCCATCGTCCAAGGATGCTGGGATTATCGGCATGGCGCTTGCGTTGGTGACCGTGGGCGCCGGTGTGATGCTATGGCTGTGAAGGGGCAGGATGGCGTGTCCCAAGTCAGGACGCGGTTCATCGTATGAGTCACGAAAAACATAATTGGCGGGTTTTCCATTGGCGAAGAATCCAGAAAGGCAATCCAGAGTAGCGTGAAAATTGAAAGGTAGACGATACGCAAGTATGCATACGTGACTGCAACAAGGAAACAGAAATAGATTTAATGGTAATCCACGGGTGAGGCCTTGAGATGGAGTCCAGCGTCAACCGCCTTTCTTTTCGGTTGCTTTCGATCGGCAGCGGGAGTTCACATCTTGTTCCGACGCTGAAAGCTGATTGATGGCTTTCTCGATCTTCTGCATAACCGAGACGCCTCGCGGTATCATTCGTTAATAGCGCCGGCTGGCGCCCGAAATAGCGCACCCAACAGGAGTAAAATCATATCCCATGTAGGAAGCTCTGTCCTCGAATGCGGTGCACTCAGCGTTTTCTCAGAGCTCTCCGGCTATTACGGCACGGTTCCCACGTACGATAAGCCAACTGGAAGGAAGTCAGATGGCCAGACGGAAGCAAGGACAATAATGATGATGAGATCAACTGGGGGGGGGGGAGAGGGGGTAAAGAGTAAGCTATTGTGGTTCCCTCATGCACATACCAATTATTTTTTTTCCTTTGCCACCATGTAGATATCTGCCCGACAAGTTCGGCCGAAGTACATGAGTCAAGTAGGAGCAACAGGTGGATTGGGCAAGTGGTAGATGTCAGACGCGAGGCCAATGGAGGCACACACTCGAGGCTGACACGAGTCGTGAAACAGGAGAAAAAAAATGGAAGGAAAGGAAGAAAAAGTATTAAGTCCGGAAAATCATCCGGGACCCACTGGCGAACTCGTTAAGTTTGCTGTCACTGACCTCAGCGCGTATCCTCGTCTCTCTATCCAGCTTGAATGCCATCACACCGAAAAAAAAAAAGGGTCAGCATGTTGATGGTGGATTTGCCCCTCGTCTCTCCCCCCAGTCTCTGTTTCCCAGCCTTCCAGCCCAACAGAACTAACTAGCTACATGGCGCCGGCCGTGCAATGATGTGACTCGGACGGAGCAGCCATCCCTCCATCGCCCTGGCATCCCTTTCTTTTGCTCCCAACCCGCTCCAGGCTTATAAATCCGTTCTTCTCCACGTGCCTGGCGGCTTTGTTGAAGTCCGCAATGTCCGGCGTTTGACTCGTCGTTGGATTGGCACTCGTCACCATGGGTAGAGTGGTCACCTTGCGGTGTAGGGCGAAGGGCCTATTGTCGCCGCGTATCTCCATTCGTTCGCTTCTCTCTGTTTCCTTCAATAATATCTTCATCCCTCAGCCCTTCCAAGAAATTGACCATCCGACGCCTTCTCCTCGTCTCTTCGGCTTCAAGCTTCATTTTCTAGGACACTACCCGGAAGTCTGTCCGACCTGCCGGACACTTACAAATCTCTTAATTTGAGAGCTGCCCGACCCGCAACGGGGATGAGAGTCCTCTGGATATTAACCTCCCACCAGACAACCTGATATCTCCCAAGGACTCAAGACGACAGTGAGGCAACATGTTCAACCAGCACAGCGGAGAGATGTTTCGACGGCGGTACGGCCAGGAACGTGAGTTCTTCTTCAACAACACTCTCTAAACATCAAAAAAAAAAAACT